GTGATTGACATGGAGAACATGGACGACACCTCAGGCTCCAGCTTCGAGGACATGGGTGAGCTACATCAGCGTCTCCGCGAGGAAGAGGTAGATGCCGATGCTGCTGCTGCAGATGACGAGGATGGGGAGTTCCTGGGCATGAAAGGCTTTAAGGGACAACTGAGCCGGCAGGTGGCTGATCAGGTAAGCAAGACTGAACCCTTGGTAGATGGAAAAATAGGCCTAGGCATGTTATGTGTTCTGAGTCGGTGCTGTTCATGCCAGGCTGTCCTGTTAGAACCACTTAGAATCCAACAGAAAACAGGCAGCAGGGCCTCGAACCGAGAGTCTCATAATTCCTACCCCCATCTCAGATGTGGCAGGCAGGAAAGAGACAAGCGTCCAGAGCCTTCAGCCTGTATGCCAACATCGACATCCTGAGACCCTATTTTGATGTGGAGCCTGACCAGGTTCGAAGCAGGTGAGGACCCTTCTACCAGAAGCTTCCCTTCTGACACTTAGTGCTTCATCCAGACTACAGCTAGATACCAAGCCCCCACTCTGACGGGCTCCCCTCTTCCTGAACCAGCACCCTCCTTCCTGCAGCATTACTGAACACAACATGGCTGTGACACATTGTCTTCCTCCTCTTTGTACCCCGCACATTACTCATCCTCTCTCAAAACCTAGCTCAGGGCCAGGGATTTAGCTCAGTGGTTTCGCCGCCTGCCTTGCAAGTGCAAGGACCTGAGTTCGATCCCTCGTACCAGAAAAAAAAAAAAAAAAAACCTAGCTCAGGCTGGGCTTGGTTGCACTCGCCTGTAATCCCAGCACCTGGGAGGACAAGGCAAGAGGATTACATAGCAAGACCCTGTCTCCAAAACAAAACAAAAACTTAGCTCACTAGCACTTCCTTTGCTCTGCATTCCTCAACCCACCCAGTTTGTTCTGACCCAGTGCTGCTGTGTGGAACTCTGCCCTTTCCTCCGACAGATGGCACTTTAGCACTCAGTATGTTCTTATTCCTGTGTCTGTCTCCCCCGAGCCCAACAGCCCCTCAAAAGCAGGTCCTGCCTTCTTTCTGTTTTCATTCCTGGTGCCAGATGTCTCAGAACCAGCACATTGGGTTATGGAGTGACTTCTCAAAGAGGTAGCATTAGCTGAGCATGGTAGTGCACACCTGTAGTCCCAGCTGCTTGTGAGGCTGAGGCCAGGAGGACTACAAGTTCAAAGCCTGTCCAGGCAACTTAGTGAGACCCTGTCTCAAAAGAGTTGGGGACATATCCCAATGGTAGAACACTTGCCCTAGCATGTATGAGGCCCTGTGTTCATTCTCCAGTACTGCTGGGGCCAAGGGGGAGCTTAACCTGAGGTTGGTTCTTTGTTTATCCTTTAACCAGTTCCAGTCAGATACCTGCAGCCAGGCACTCTTCATGATACTTGATTCAGTGGTGAAGACACATGGGAGCCAAACCCAAACTAGTCACTTAGGGAGAGACTTTTCCTTCTCAACCTTTCCCAGGACTTCACATCCCAGGTCTGATTTCTGGGTCCCTCTGCTGAGGTCCACCTGTCTTCAAGGGAGAGCAGGTCACATAGGTAATGGCCAGGCCTTCTCTCAAAGCCAGGCAGGCTTCTCTGAGTTCCCCAAATTGCTGCCCCAGTTGGCTCCCTTGCAGAACGCTGTCCTTCCTGGAAGTGATGTCCTCCTTCCCTGCATCTTTACAACCCTTTTCTTCCCCTGTGCCCTAGTATGTCCATTCCTTGGAGCTAGAGAGATGAGTAGGGTCAGTCCTTGTCCTCCAGAGTCTCCTTGCCCAGTGCTACCTCTGCTCTCTCCTCTCCTCTCCCAGGCTGCTGGAGTCCATGATCCCTATCAAGATGGTCAACTTCCCCCAGGTGACTAGGGGGTGGCCGTGGGAGGCTGGGGGAATCAGGCTGAGCCTGGGAAGGTAGAAAAAGGCTTTGCACTCTCCAGCCTGAAGGAGTTGGTATTTTGACAGAAAATTGCAGGGGAGCTCTATGGTCCTCTCATGCTGGTCTTCACACTGGTCGCCATCCTTCTGCATGGGATGAAGACATCTGACACCATTATCGTAAGCAGGACAGGACTGGGAGGATGGCTGAAGTAGGTTTAAAGCTGCCCAAAGACATGATGATAGAGACAGGCACCCCTTGCAGAAGGCCCTTGGCAAGTGAGGCTGGGATTGAGGCTTCCTGGGGCTAACAGCCTTCACCCCACAGCGGGAAGGCACCCTGATGGGCACAGCCATTGGCACCTGCTTCGGCTACTGGCTGGGCGTCTCGTCCTTCATTTACTTCCTCGCCTACCTATGCAATGCCCAGATCACCATGCTCCAGATGTTGGCACTCCTGGTAAGGAGCCAGGCCTTGGTCTGCTTTCTGTCTCAGGGCCCCTGGGCCTGGGGTGGGAGGAACAGCCAGTGGCCTTCCCAGGGGCTGGCTGAGGAGTGAGGCCGGCCCAGCCCAGTGATTTTCCTGTCCACCACCCTCTTCCCAGGGCTATGGTCTCTTCGGGCACTGCATTGTCCTGTTCATCACCTACAACATCCACCTCCACGCCCTCTTCTACCTCTTCTGGCTGCTGGTGGGGGGGCTGTCCACCCTGCGCATGGTAAGTGGGCACTGTCCTCCCCAGGGGAGTCTATCCTGTGCACCTGCAGGGGCTCTAAGTGGGAGGCAGGGCCACAGACTGTTCACCCTGGTGGGGAGGGAGGTCAGGCCCACCCCAAGCCCCAAATCCAAGCCCGCTGAGGTGCATCCTGTGGTCCTAGGTGGCAGTGCTGGTATCTCGGACCGTGGGCCCCACCCAGCGGCTGCTCCTGTGTGGCACCCTGGCCGCCCTGCACATGCTCTTCCTACTGTATCTGCACTTTGCCTACCACAAGGTGGTAGAGGGTAAGTGCGGAGGGCCACGTGGGACAGTCAGGGCATTGTACAGGTCGGGCTGTGCTCATTCACCTCCCCCTTCCCACCACCTCCTTGCAGGGATTCTGGACACACTGGAGGGCCCCAATGTCCCACCCATGCAGAGAGTCCCCAGGGATGTCCCCGCTGTGCTCCCTGCTGCCAGGCTTCCCGCCACCGTGCTCAATGCCACAGCCAAGGCTCTTGCGGCATCCTTGCAGTCACACTGACCTCACCTGAGGTCCATGGCCACCCCTGTTGCCCCAGTTGTGGAGCAGAAGATTAAAGGACAAGATTGTGTCTCTCTGCTGGGGTCTGCAGCCACCACTGAGCTGTACCTACCTAGGTGCATCCATGACACCAGTCCAGGCTGCTGAAGGGCACAAGGCTGGGAACTCCTGGCCAGGACTGCCAGGCTCTGGAGCCAGTGCAGAAAGTGGGTCAGTGCCCTGAACAACCCCCCCCCCATGTTGCTAATTATAGACTTGGTAATTAAAACACTGCTCTAGTCTGGAACTGCAGCTCCTGTTCTAGTGGTCTTCTGTCACCCTGCCTCCTGTACATGCAGGGGTAATGTGCCACGTCCCTTTATCACCTAACCCAGGTGAGGTGAAAGTGGGAGAGGCCAGACCACTTAGATAGCAGCAACTTTGTGGAACCTGCCCAAGGGCAGAGGACACATGACCCCTGGAGCAGAGGGCAGGCCTGATGAAGAGTGTTCCGGGCTTAACTCTCCGCTGCCTGCACTTTCAGGGAAGCCAATGGAGCATTACAGATTGAACAGAAACTTCCAGATAGAGCCTCACATCAGTGCAAGGACCTGATGCAGCTGGGCCACTGTGGAGCAAACTTTCCCATGGGAAAAAAAGTCAGACCAACTTGACTTTGCCCTGCTTTTCCCCGGGCCAGCTCCCATTTGTTTTTGATTTCTGACCTCTTCTTTCAAGAATACCCTAGCGATGCACCACCCACCACTCTCAGTGTGCTCCACTTAAGTTAGTTCAAAATTCAGGCCGGGCTTGGTGCCACATACCTACAAACCCAGAACTCAGAGGCCGAGGCAAAAGTACTGCAAGCTGAAGCTCAGCCTGGGCAACTTATGAAGACCGTCTCAAAAAAGAAATACTTCAGTGCAAAGGCCCTGGGGTCCATAAAATCAGGTAGTTGTAGAGGAAATAGGGCTTTGATTCACTACTTTTGAGGGGGGTGTGCTGGTGGGCTTGGGGCCTTGTGCATGCCAGGCAAACAAATGCTCTACCACTGAGCCATACCCCTAGCCCAGTGTTTCCTTTTTCTAAAAATAGCCCATCATTGCTAAACTTGGGTCCGCGGCATGACTTGCCCATAAAGAGACCAACAGCGGTGCCTTTTATTTGCCCTGTTACCCAGAGCGCTCCCAGTACAGTCTGTCCCAGGTCTCCGTGCTGGGTCGCTGGTCCAGGCACTCCTACATCTTAGCCCCTCCAGTCTGAAGACTTTAAAGGAATCCCGCAGGGCCCGCCCGCCCCACCTGGGCCTGAGGTCCACCTGTTCTAGGGGCAGCCGGGTCTCCCCCTCCCTGCGGCCGCTCCACCCCCCGGGTGATAGGGAAGCACTGGAGGAATTCCCACGTACGCGGCGCCACACGTCACGGGCGGGGCGGGGCGGGGCGCAGATTAAAGGGCCCGGGACCTCCAAGCCGGAGAGGCACGTGCAGGGGGTCAGACGGGAGGGGTAGTGGCGCGAGACCCTTAAAGGGCTGGGGATGGCGGGGAATTGGCAGCAGAGCCGGTCGCAGCGTCACACGCCCCCTTTAACCGCCGCGCCCCCGTTGCGCCCTCTCGGTCCTGTGGGTCCTAGGCCCCAGCCCTATCTTTCCACCTGCTGTCTAGCTCGGCATGGTCTGGGAAGGGCTTCCCTCTGGCCAGTGCCCAGTGGTGTGCGCCAGCCTCGAGGGCCGCGTGCTCCGGTCGGGAGGGGAGGGGCGGGCTCCGGTGACGCGACCCGTTGCCATGGAAACCCACCGCCTGCTCCGGCGCAGGAGCTGAAGCAGAGCACCCGCGCGCCGCCAGCCTTAGGCTGTCTCTGCAAGACGCGCGCCGGGCCCGGGGCGCCCGGGGAGCCGGGCTGGGGGGCGGGGGCGGCCTCCGAACAGGGCCCGGGCCCGAGCCGCCGCCGGAACTGCGAGGGACGACAACGACCGGGGCAGGGCAGCGCCGGCGGGCCAGAGTCGCGCGCCCCGGCCCGCACCCTCGGCGTCCTGCACCTTTCCGTGCGGTGTTCCGGCGTTCTTCCCTCGCCCGCTCCGCCCCCGCCCCGGCCCCTGCGGCCCAGCCCCGGGTACGATGCTGCCCAGCTCCATCCAGATTTCGGGAGAGCCGCTGTCAGGCGCCGAGGTGCGGGACATCTGCCGCGGCCTGCGCGACAACGCCGTGCGCCTGCTCTCCCTGCGTGGCTGCCGCCTCTGCGACCGCGACTTCGGCCGCATCTGCCGGGCCCTAGCCGGAGCCACATCCCTGGCTCAGCTCAACCTTAACCTGGGCGTCGTGTCCAGCCCCAGCCGCATCAAACAGCTGGCGGAGGCGCTGCGGACCAACCGCTCCATCCAGTCCCTCTTGTGAGTGCGCCCCTCGCCAGGGGTTCCGGGTGCTGCGGCCCTCCGCGCGCTCCCCTCCCGGCTCCTGGCCCTCTGCACCTTCCAATTCCTTTCTTCCACCCCGCTGACCTTGCACCCCTGCCCGTGTCTCCACCACACCCTCCAAGGCTTGCCTGGTTTCTGGGCTTCCTGCAGCCCCACGAGGTGGTGGCCACCCCTTCCTGGCAGGGCGTGTCCTGCCTCCCCATTTTATCGCCCTCCTTTACTTTGCCTGGGCGGCGCCTTGCTTCCCAAAAATCAACCCGCCCTTACCTCGGGTACTAGAGTCCTGTGCCTACAATTGTGCCCACTGGAAAATTCCAAAGCACCAGCAGCACGCCCCTTCTCTGCCTCCTTGTGGAATACCCCGGATCCCAGTCCTTGCCCCAGAAAAAAGAAGCAGATTCCACTTCTTCTGGGTATTCCTGAGAATCCAGAATGTTCATCCCTCCTCCTCTTGATCCTCCCAGGGGAGGCGCCCCTTTTCCACTGGAAGGCTGGGGACTGAGTAACTGCTCTCCTGCCTCCCCGCAGCCTGCACGGAAGCCCACTGACAGATGCTGGTCTGGCCCTGCTGAACCCAGCCCTGGCCCTCCACCCTGCCCTCGTGGCTCTGGACCTGGGGGACTGCATGCTGGGTGACGAAGCCATCAACCTCATCTGTGGCCTCCTCCCTCCGGACGGGGCCAAGTCTGGTGAGGAAGGCGTGGGTTGGCCTGGGTGGAAGCTAAGTACAGGGTCCCTCCTGAGCAGGAGTAAGGATGTTGCAGGAAAGAGGGGACTGGGGATGCAGTGAGCTGCAGATTCAGAGTCCTCAGTGGCTCTGGAGCTCTGTGGGTGGGTTGGGGTGGCTCCCAGCCATCGGGGACTCCCCAGATGCCCCACACGTGGGAAGGGCTAGAGGAGGCTCTGACCCTCCCTGCCCTGGCTTCTTACTGTGCTGTTGCCCAGGCCTGAAGGAGCTGACACTGAGCGCCAACCCTGGCATCACCCCCAAGGGCTGGAGCCGCCTGGCCATCGCTGTGGCCCACAGTTCCCAGGTCCGAGTCCTCAATCTGGACTACAACCCTCTGGGTGAGGCTCGTGCCCCGCCCACCTCCCCAAGAACCTGGGACATCATTGCCATGGGAACCCCACACTGGGGAGAGAAGAGGAGTGAGGGCCCAGGCAGGGACAGGAGGGGAGCTGTCCTGTATGGACCTCTAGGTGACCATCAGGGGGTCAGAGCACCAGCTAGCATCCCAGTTCCAGTCCCCTCCTCACTACCCACCAACAGCCAGGGTCTCCTGAGGAGCCGGGGGTGGGGCCAAGGGTGGTTAAGGTGATGGGGAAGCTGAGGGTGGTGGGGCTGACAGGGCGTGAGTGCAGGTCAGTGTGTGCGTGTGCCGTCTCCCTAGGTGACCACGTGGCAGGGATGCTAGCTGTGGCTGTGGCCTCCAGCCGTACCCTAGAGGTCCTAGACTTGGAAGGGACCGGGCTCACCAATCAGTCAGCTCAGGTGAGAGGATGTGATGTTTGGGACCAGCAGGGGATGGGATAGACACGCCTGAGGGGGAGCAGGTGGGGTCCAAGGACCTGCCACAATCACGTGGGGTCATCTTTTCCACCCTTCCACCCCAGACCCTGCTGGACATGGTGGAAAATTACCCGACAGCCTTGCGGAGTCTGGTGTTGGCTGAGAACAGCATCAGCCCCGAGCTGCAGCAACAAATCTGTGACCTTCTTTCTGAGGGCGAGGAGGAGGAGGAGGTGGCCGGAGGGACTGGCAACACCCAGGAATGGGAACGAGAGAGGGAGCCCGCTGCCCACCAGAGGGGCAGCAGCTCCTGGATGTGCCCCGGCGGTAAGAACCGGAAGATTGCTCAGGGCCAAGTCTGGAGGAGCCGGGAAAGGGAAAGTGGGTGGGGAAGAGGCCAACTCTCACCTTTGTGTCCCCATCGAGGCAAACAGCCACGTGGAAACTCCTGTGCTACCTTAGCACCCTCTGCCTTTCCACAGACGCCAGCTCGCAGATGGTGCTGATGACATCAGGACTAGGGGACAGTCTGCTGGCTGAAACCGAGATGTGACTTTCCACTTGGGTTTCTGTGTCATGACATACATGTTTTTCTCTGTCCCCAGTGCCTTCCCTGGATGGCAGGGACAGGCCCTGTGGCTTGAGAGGGCATGGGGATGGGGGTGGCCCTGGGGCTCTGGCAGCTCCTGGCAGTGTGGGAAGCTCTGGAAGCTGTGGCTGACAACAGCCTTGGAAGCACTGGAGCCCAGGGCAACGCCTTTGGACTCGTTGGCAGCTCTGGCTACAACCCGCTGGCTCGGAAGAGATTTTATAAAATCTACAACTTGGCTTGAGGCTGTGGTCACTAGGGGTGGCTGGGGAGGGGGGGACTGGAACTGTACCTAAGCACCACTAGGGGGCAGGATCATCACATAGCCCGAGCTCCCATGTCTTCAACAGGCCTGGCCCAGACCTAGGACCTGGGGCTCCCAGGTGACACCTCACAAACCCATAAAGATCCTAAGGACAGTGAGGAGCCTACTTCCAGTGCTGGGCTGAGGGAAGACCCTGGTCCTGCCGGTTACTTGAGGGCCCCTCTCCAGGGCACAAGGCCCTGTGCCCAGGGAAGCCCCAGGCAGAGTGGAAGGGGGTGGGTCACTGGCGAAGTCCAGGAAAATACTAGGAAAACTGGGAAGAATTGTGGGAGAGGGATGGCCATTAAGACAAGTGAAGCTAGGACTGGGGATTTAGCTCAGTGGTGCTGCCCTCTGCCTTGCAAGCACAAGGTCCTGAGTTCGATCCCGGTATCAGAAAAACAAAAAGTGAAGCCATACCAGTAAAATAGTTTTATTTAAAAATAATCATCAATGTGAAAATTTCCCAAAGCTGGGAGTAACAGTCTAGAGCCAAGGTTGGGAAGAGCCAGGCTTCACCCAGAGCCCAGCCTGAGGCCCCTGAAGCCCACGCTCCTATATCAAGGGGGGAGGAGCAGCAAGGGGAACCCTGAGTCTCAGCTGTCCATCCCAGGGTGGCTGAGCCAGGCACCCGGAGGGCAGCAGCTTGTGCAGAAGGAAGCAGAGGAAAACAGAAACCAGAGGTTAACCCCAGCAATACCCCAAACCACCAAGCCCAGAAACATGAAGGGAGGACAGAATGAACACTGATGAGCCCCTCGATGCACCAGGACAGTCCAACCTGGGCTGGGAAGGGCCTGAGAGCTACCTGCAGTTAATCTGGGGAATAAATACTCCAAGACAAGGACAAAGTCATGAAGGAGCAAACTGGTGCCAGTGTCAATGCAGCTGAAAGGCCTGGCATAGCCTGACACTCACATGGGGAACCAAGCTGTGCAAGTCAGAAGAGTCCAGGGCCAGGGCACTGCAGACTGCCTGCTCCAAGCCAGGGTCTGCTGTCCTCAAGGAAGGGTGGCCTAGCTGAGCAGGGTGCCCTGCTCCTGGGCCTGGGTTAGGCTGTCCTTGCGATGCAGGTGATGCACCCCCATCCTCTTGGGGCTTCGCTGGGGGCGGCTAGAGCCAGGGAGTGGCCAGGCCCTGCCCTCAGTGTGGGAAGCACCAGGCCCCTCCTCTGCACCCCTGTCCCCAGCCAGCAGACTCTGGCGTTCTTCCTCAGGGCTGACAGGCAGGTTGAACATTTCCTCTTCCTCCTCCCTGGCAGAACCAGGTCTAGGTTCCATTGGCAGCAGGACCCCACTCTCACTGGGTGGGGCAGAAGGTGTCAAAATCACCTCATCTTGATTGACAGGGCTAAGGGCAAAGTGGCACTGCAGCTCAGGGAGGGCATCTCGGCCAAAGGCCGTGCGCTGGACCACGGCAGTGGGCGGTGGAGTGCGGTCCACAAACGCACGCTGCCAGCTGGCCAACAAGTCCTCTTCAGAGCTAGTGGAACTAGCCAAGTTGTTGGACGCAGAGGCTGTGGGGCCAGGCTGGTGGTATGGGGAAGCCTGGGTCGAGGCAGGCCTGCTGGGCTCCGGGCTAGGGTGAGCCCACTCACTGCTCTCCTCTACCAAGCTCAGAGAAATGGCCTGGCGTGTGGCATAGGTGCAGTTGGGCAGCGGGCTGTTTTGAGGGATGCGGACCTTATCCTCAGAGAACTCTATCACCTTGCGGCCAGGGTACAGTGGGTGCGGCAGGGACGGGGTAGGGTAGGGGCTCAGCTTCTCAAAGGCTGGCAGGGACTGCTCCTCTTCCGGGGAGGCCCCTGTAGTACCCAGAGAGTGGCACTCTCCATTGGGCTGGGGAATGGGACTGCTGGGGGCTGGGGGACTGGCCGTGTCCCCTGGGGCACCCCCACTCATGTCCACGTGCACAAAGACATCCTCAGCCAAGGGCTGCCCAGCACTGCCTGACTGGGCGGAATTGAGCAGCAGGGACTCTGGCTTCTCCAGCACTCGGGCAATGATGGAGGTGGGCACCACAGCCCCTGGGGCTGGCCTGGGAGCGGGACCCAGGATGGCAGCCTCAGGGCTGCTGTGCAGGTGTTTCCGAACCATGTCTTGGAGCTCACAGGGCAGCTGAGAGAAGGAAGAGTGGAGTGAATGGTCCCAGCTGAAGCCAGCTGGGCCACGGCAAAATCAATGGCTCCTGGGAACACATACTTTCTTCCTTGTGACTGCATTTCACAGATACATAGGCTCAGCAGCAGAAAATAACTGCGGCTTCTGATGAACACAGCTGTGATGCAAACCCAGACCTGCTGGCGAGGCTGTGTGCTCTGGAGCTTCTACCTCCCTCACCTCAGCATGTTCTCTGCCCAAACCCTCCAGACTGTGGCCTGTGGCTCTGGGGTCTAGACTCTGCCCCTTGGGATAACAGGAGCAGCACTAGTGTCCAACAGCTCTGGTCACCTCTCATTCCCACATAGGCTCAAGCTGAGTCCCTGTCACAGGAACCCCAGTAGGGCCAGCCCTTTGCATAGTGACAGCCTGGCTGCAAGACAGGATGGAGGCAGGAGGGCTAGGTGGAGGGCTCCGCACATAGCTGGGGTGCAGGACTGGGAGGCCATGCTGGCTAGTGCTGGCAGGGGGCGCTGTACTCACGTCGGCGAATTTGTGGCTGCGGAAGTGGGACTTGTTGCACTTGAGGAGCTGTACTGCCAGGTTGCAGTCCAGCCGGTATCGCTCCTACACACAGAGCGACCTCAGAGCCTGCCAGCCGCACCCTCCCTGGAGCCAGCCCACCCCAGAGGGGACAGGGAGGCCAAGCAGGGCAGGTGACCTACGTTGAGCTCCTCCAGCCTGTTGATGGTGTTCCTGGCATCCAGCAGCTTGTTGGTCAGCTCCACGATCTCCCAGTCCAGTGTCTTTCTGTCCATCTCAGCCTTCTGGATCTGAGGCACAGAGGAGTGGTAAATCCAGCACAGGCAGGAAGCCCTTCCCCCACCCCACCCAACCTCCAGCCCAGACACTGAGGCACAAGTGCCAGGGCAGCCAAGGCGACAGAGCAGACAATTGACGGACAGACAGAAGGAGACTCGGCACTGCTCCTGCTCTGCGGGTCAGCCAGGGCGAGGCCCGGGACAGAAACAGTCTAGACCTGTCTATGGGGAACAGAGTTTTAGGGGCTCTGGGCACTGAGCAAGCTATATGCAGCTGTTTGTTTTCAGCTATGCCAGAAAGAGGCTGGAGGGAGCAGCCGGGCACAACCAGGCACAACCAGGGTGCCTAGGGGATGGTCTGGTTGGAGGCAACAGGCTCCAAAGTCGCCTCTGATCCTTGGCCCATGGAGTGGAGCCAGGGCCCACTGCCCCTGTGGCCGAGCAGTCAGTGTTCAGGGTGACATCGGGACAGGAGCCCTAGCCCTAGCTACTCAACAGGCCTCCTGCAGGGAGAGGACAGGACAGGGGTCCTCAAGGGGCAGAGGAAGAGAGCCAGGGCCCCAAGGTCCTGGACCCAGGCTGAGGAGGCCAGCCCAAGGGAGGAAACACAAACTCAGACGCAACTGCAAAAATCCAGCTGTGGCTAAGAGAGGCCTGAGAGGAGAGGGCGGCAGCAACGATGGCAGCATGAGGGGGAGACGAGGAGAGAAGAGAAACAGTGTAAGCATCACGACAGTCCCACCTCGCATAGCAAATGCAGTTCCTTCCCCACCCGGGGCCCTACCCCGCCCCGCCCCAGGCCCCAGGCCAGAGGGGGGCTCCCTGAAGGAAAGTCCTGGCCCCTGGCCTGGAGCACAGTGCTAGGCCAACTGGCCACCCTGGTGGCAGAGTACCAATGTGTGCAGCTTGTCCTCCAGCTCCTGGTTGGTCCGCTGGGAGGCCGTGTAGCTGTTCTGCAGCCTGTGGAGGGACACGGAGATGCCTGGTCCAGACCTGCTCTTCCCACCCTACACAGCCCTGCTTTCAGGCTCCTGAGCAGTGCCCTTTCCAGCCACAATTTCCATGTTCTAATCAGCACGAGGTCACATCTGAAGCCTCTTCCAGCTAACCCATGCATGGGGAGATGCTGTGTGTGTGTCTGGCCCCTCTTCCCACACCTGCGGAACTTGTCCTTAAATTTGTCCAGCTCCTCCCGGCTCTGGCCAAGCTCCAGCTCCAGACAGTCCTGCCCGATTTCTAGCTCCCGCTCCAGGGCCTCGGTGCGTCGGGTAGCCGAAGCCAGGCGCCGGCGAAGCTCTTCATTCTCCTGCTGCAAAAGCCTGCAAGTTGGGGTGCAGAGAGGGCATCAGAGAGAAGGGGCAGGCAACTGGGGCAGCGGGGGTTCCTAGGGTCTGGGTTTAGGGCAGCTCGTGCCACAGGCCTGGGAACACAGCCTGGGTTGAAGAATGTGAGAGGCATAGGGGGCAGCAGAGGACAGTGCTCTGTGCCCTCACTCCCTGCAGAACAGGACAGAACTGGGAAGGGGGGCACAGCTCCCAGCCTGTCTCTGGTTACTGCCCAAGCCAGCCAGCCCCCAAGCCCCTGGCTCCAGTTTCCCCCTGCACAATCAGCTTCTCCATTATTAATCCCTTGGAAATCCGGCCTAGCCCTACTCTCCTCTCCTGGGGCCTCGTGGGGCTGTCACAGGGAGGCAGCTGGCACAGGAGCCCCTTGGCAAAAGCAGGCCCCTCCCAGCAACCCACTTCCTCACTCAGGGCCTCTCAGGGCCCACAGAACGATAAAACCCCATTTCCCCAAAAAAGAGTATCTACAGTGGCAAGCTGCCTTCCACAGTCCCTGAGAAACACCATCCCAACTCTGACTTCTGCTTAAACAAGGGAAAAACCTAACCATACCAACAGCCTTGCTGGGAGCTAAGGGGACACAGTCTGGGCAGCACAACGTCTCAGGCAGCCATACTTACTTCATCCTCTCTGCATCCGTCAGGGGCTCCTGGACAGAGGAAAACAGAAGCC